CTAGTTCTTTGTCTGGAAAAAGCAAAGCAATTCTTTTCTGTGTACTTAGCAGAAAACATCTCTACTATGGTACCATTCTCACATAAATCTATAAAGTCTTCAAGACAGACTAAGCTGAAAGTATTAACTAAATGGCATGCCAAAAAACTGATAACATTGGGATCCCTCCCTTCTAGATAGGAGCTAAAGATGGTATGTGAATTTTAGGGGTTTGTTTTTTTTTGCTAACCAAGTACTGGAAGAAAAACTATATGTAGGAGTAAATGTAAATAGAATGGCAGGAAACCCAATTTATAATGAGGACATGATTTACCCTTTTGAAATGTTATCTCACACTTCACCCATTTTCATACAAACCAAGGATGCTAGATTTAGACTTCATATTCAAATTTGGTTCTTGCAAAGGTTCCATAGTTCTACCACTTTAAACATCATGGAAGGCATTGGATGAATGGTGTAGTGCAGTCCCTACTTGTTAGGCTAGGAAAAGCCTAGAAAAGTAGGCCCAAGAAGTTCGGCAGCCATTTTGGAAAGGGTGCCGGGGAAATCCATTTTAGTTACTTGTTTGGCTAGCAGAGATAGCTAGTGAGAAGATTTCTACAGCTATTAGAGAGATAGCTGGTGGAGGAGTGTAGAGATAGATCCAGGGTAGGGACTATCTGTGGAGGAGTCTAGAAATTACTTTCAGAGAAGCAATCCTGTTAGTAAATTCTGTGGAGGAGGAGGAAGTGTTCCTGTGTAACTAAGTCTGAACTGCTTAAAGTAACCACATGCTTTTAAGTCAATAGTTTGAAACAGCTAAGCTTTATACCTGAATTGTTCCAGTTCTCTTAAATAAACATCATTGTTTTGTTGTTCTCAACATCTGCCTCATGTGTGCCTCTGTGGGTGAAGTTTTAAAAGCAGTTTCTTAAAGCAAACAAGAGTCTATGGTGGAGGCGTCTAATTTTAAGAACCATCTTTTAGTGTTTCCACAGAACACAAGCTTGAGGGCTAATCTAACACACACTCTTGCCTAAGATATTTCCAGTAAGACAAGGGCTTATCAGTGCTTCTAAGTTGATGGTGGCCAGAGGGTTCTTTAAAAAGGTTTTCAGCCAGAAGAAAGTTTCAGCTTTCCTTACAGCTTTCAGTTTTGGGCTTTTAATTAGGAGAAGCCACATTCATATCTAAGTGGTGTTCTGCCTTCTTTTTTTGGATTTTTGTTCCCAAATAAAGCTCCATCCTTTATAAATGGACCATAATATAATTATTGGTGAGGATCCCAACTCCAAAGCATCTGAGGCAGATGAGGCATACAAAGGGTGTGTATGAGGTGTGTATCATTCTTCCTCACACACAAGTATTTGTCAGAGATGAACTAAATCTATGATACAAAAATATGCATTCCCAAAGACCAGTCAACATTCAGTTCAAGGTTCTGCGTGACTTGGAATATTTATGCCTTTTGAACATGGATCAACAGCACTGATAGAATAATATATCTGCATTTCATCGAAAAACTTCATTAAATGCTTCAGAAAGCCCAGAATGAGTACATCATTCCAGAATACAGTAGTTCATTTTGTTCTGCATGTTTTGCAAAGACATGTCAATTAGAGTATGAGTAACAACTTGAAGGTGAAGTTATAATGCCATTCATGTTTATTCCTCAACTGTAGAAAGATGTGTTTGTTATATTAACCTTTAACTTATTAAAAACTTATTTGTGGATTAAAACTATTGCACTTTTTTTTAAAAAAAGTGTAACTCCTCCATATAAAAGTTCGCAGATTGTCACCATAAATTACAATGAAAACCCAATAACCAAACAAAATGTGATATAGTTAAGAGAACAGCAGTAAAGTAAGATGCCCTTCCCCTGGGATCAACCCATACCAATTGTTAACGTCAAGCATTAATAAAGGCTTTTCCAAACATAAAGTCCATTTCCTCTGCCCTTGAACATGAATTTGGAACAGAGGGAGGGTCTCTGGTGTTGATTTTAAGATGGGATTGGTACATATGAGAGGTGGTCCTTCAGACATCGTGGTCCTAAACTATTTTAAAAGTTTGAACTGCTTTAAATTGAATCTGGAATCTAATGATAAACCAGTGCAACTGTTTCCAAACCATTTTCAATGAGCCCCATACATACTGTTCTCTATTCCATTCCACAGTATAATGAACACCTTGCCATTTCCATCCTTATTGCAAACAGCACCGAGGTTTCCAGTTTTAAAAAATGCACTGGGATGTGAAGATTCAGTATCCATTTAAACAGCTAAAGACTGATGCCAGTGAATGTGTTCATGTATACATAACACATAGGTGTTTGGGTTGCTGTGCGTTTTTTGGCCTGTATGGCCATGTTCCAGAAACATTCTTTCCTGACATTTCACCCATCTATGGCAGGCATCCCCAGAAGTTGTGAGGTCTTTTGGAAACTAGGCAAGTGAGGTTTATATATCTGTGGAACGTCCAGGATGGGAGAAAGAACTCTTGTCTGTTTGAGGCAGGTGTGAATGTTGCAATTGGCCACCTTGATTAGCTTTAAATGGCCTTGCAGCTTCAAAGACTGGCTGCTTCCTGCCTGGGGGAATCCTTTGTTGGGAGATGTTAGCTGGCCTTGATTGTTTCATGTATGGAATTTCTCCTGTTTTTTGAGTGTTGCTCTTTATTTACTGTCCTGATTTTTAATATTGGTAGCCAGATTTTGTTCATTTTCATGGTTTCCTTCTTTCTGTTGGAATTGCCCACATGCTTGTGGATTTCAATGGCTTCTCTGTGTAGTCTGACACGGTGGTTGTTAGAGTGGTCCAGCATTTCTATGTTCTCGAATAATATGCACCTTAATTTACCCAGGAGAAACAAAAAAATATGGCACACAGAAAGGGGTCGGCTCCACAGGATAAGTGAAGTGACATGAAGGGCTGGATAGGGCTGTTGTGTGAAATTTCAGGAGACAGGGGTGACAACACAAGCTTATGGATAATTGACGTTTTTATTCCATACATTCTGTCACATAGACATATTTTATGTTTCTTGGCAGCTCTAACATCTCTACTCTTTAAAGTAAGGGAATCACTTCCCTGCAGTGACATCTCACGCAGGAGAGAAACGAAGCAGAATGGACAGAGTTGATGAGTCTGTCCTATGGAATTATTTCATACATATGGTTAAGCTATACAAACACTTGCCCCTAAATCATACTGAAACAGTTCTCACACTGCAAGGGATGCAGAAAAACGGGACTCCAACTAAGAAACCTGACATGTGAGACCTTTTCATACTACACAATTATACTGCTATATTTTACTTCAATTGCCATGGCTACATCTTATGAAACCTTGAGAATTATAGTTGGGTGAATCATTAAAGAGGCTCACTGGCTGAGAATACTAAATACATTACAACCCACATATCGGCTAGAGTGGTCAGCTTCATTTACCATGTTCAACAAATATGCCATCTAGGTACTTTCTAATTTGCTATTATCCACAATTTTGTGTATCCACATGAAGTCTGTGAATAGCTCCCTAGTATTCCATGGGACGTTGCCCTGGTTGTTGAAGTAGGATCACAGTACTATGATTGTGGGATATGAAATAGCCAAAGATCTCCTAAAGTGGCTAGACAAATTACAATTTACCAACCTGATTTGCATAGCACAATATCACTGAAATTGCCAGTTTAAATTATACCAGTCTGGATGGACTCTAAATACTTTTGAAACATAATTTTCCAAGCTCACATTAATATTTCTGTCACCCTTTCATCACTTGTTTGACCATGACATGGTGTTGTAGTACAGCATGATAGTAACGTTACTACTACTGGTAGAAGGGAGAAAAGGGCTGCGCAGGTGTTGGAGGAGGAGCAGCAGCGAAAGCAGATTAGAGACATATTCATGGCTCCAACTGATTCTGAGTCCTTCGAGGGTTTCTCAGATTGTGAAGTGGGGGAAGGAGAGGAAAGCAGGGGAGTTAAGTGGGCTACTCGAGAACAAGAATCAGATGAGGAGATCCAAAGGAAGCGTATCCGTGATAGCGCTCCAACAGAAGATGAAGACTTTGTGGGTTTTGAAAGGAGTGATGGGATTGGGAGTGACGATGGGGAGGAGGATGCTTTAGACTGGACCCGTGTGCAAGAGACTAGGGACATCTGTACTCAGCCTACATCCAGTGATGACTTTGAGGGGTTTGCAGAGGACTGGCAATCTGGGAACACTTGGGAAGACCTAAGTCTTGAAAGACGCTGGCAAAGGTGGAGAGATGGGAGGCATTGCTCAGCTGCAGGGAATGGGGCAGCTAAAAGTGATGATGAAAGGGCGGGGAGCAGTTCATCCTCTGATGAGGAGTTATACGATATAAGGTGGTTTGATTTCAATGGGTCTTTGCAGAAGGCAAAGTGTCTTATCGGGTTTGGATCTTTGTTACTACCATTACTCTTAAGCTTGGGTCCTTGGACTACAGATCTCCGTGTTTCCGTGACTTCTGGCTGGAACTGCATAAGTGCTGACTTCAACCTCCCCTTTGACTCTGGACTGTGTTTTGACGACGACTTCGCTTTTTGGACTGCTTCATCTCATTTTGGATGTGCCTGGACTTCGGACTGTTTTTGGACTTCGATTTTGCATGCTCCCACCATATTTTCTTGTGCTTTTTGGACCTTTTGAATTTCACGCAGATTGCTGTAACTTTTTGTTATCCCAGATTATACTCCGGTATAATCCAGATTATATTTAAGTTGGGTTTTTTGCTTAGTGGTTACTATAGACTCTTAGTTTGTGCTAGAGGCACTGAGTGTCTCTAAGCCTTTTTTGTGTTTAATAAACCTTTGTTTGGACCTTTTATACTGTGTTTGGCATTCTTGAGGCTTCAGGGTCTTGACACATGGAGAGAGGGAGGGAGCAAGACATTTTACACTATCAACACCTACACTTTCTAATCATTGTTGATTGCTGAATTTTGATAGTTTTATGTAAGGACAAATTTATTTATTTATTTTTCCTCATATAGATCACTTGAAAATGAAGACATTCCCATGGACTTTGAATTTACTGTTACTATTATTATTATCAAATGGATGCTACACAAAACAGTCTAACTTCAACAAAAGTTCCCCTAGACGATACCCACGTTCTACAGAAGAAGGAGAGGAAGGGAAAAAGTGTGGCTACACATTTATTGTCCCTGAACAAAAAATAACTGGACCAATTTGTGTCAATACCAGAGGCCCAGAAAACAAAAAAGATGAAATTACTAGAATGGACATTGAGAATCTGAAGGATGTATTGTCCAAACAAAAGCGGGAGATTGATCTCTTACAGCTAGTGGTAGATGTGGATGGGAATATAGTAAATGAAGTAAAACTGCTGAGAAAAGAGAGCCGCAACATGAATTCTCGTGTTACTCAACTATATATGCAGCTCCTCCATGAGATAATCCGCAAACGAGACAACTCACTTGAGCTTTCCCAGCTGGAAAACAAGATACTCAATGTCACAACTGAAATGTTGAAGATGACATCAAGATACAGAGAGCTTGAAGTAAAATATGCAGCACTAACTGATCTTGTAAATAACCAGTCACTCACCATCTCATTGCTGGAAGAACAATGTATACGTATCTTTTCACGGCAGGACACACATGGTTCTCCACCTTTAGTTCCAGTGGTACCCCATCACATTCCTAATAGCCCACACTACACTCCAGGACTTCTGGGAAGTAATGAAATTCAGAGAGATCCAAGCTATCCCAGAGACAGAGATGTGAGACCACCCCCTGATCCAGCTACTACTCCTACAAAGAGTCCTTTCAGAATCCCACCATTAATGTTGATCAATGAAGGTAAGGCTTTTGCTTCATTTCTAGAATTATATCTGAATATTTAAAGACTATCTGAAAACATAGCTGGTGAACATGAAAACAAAATACAGAGTAAAAACAACTTGCTCCTGTCATCACATCCCATTTCCCTACAAAGCCGTCTTTCAATTACAGCTGACCCACCAATATTTCATAAAAGAGGCACTGAGCAACTTATATTGAAATCTGTAAATAGTGTTCTTATCCAAGAGCCTGACATTTTTGTCATGGTATTTGGCACTCTACTACTTTATCTGCTTTGTTTTTCCAGTAGCCCCAATCAATTACTTTTCAATTTTACCGCTTAGACAATGAAAATTAAACTCCAATATTTGAGGGCCCTTCTTCACATCTGTTTGCATTTGCATTACTAATCTGGTTCCTTTGGCTGCAAGCCGTTGTAATAATTCTGAAAAATTTGCTCAGGAAATGCCATATGATCATGATTTCAGAATTTTTTATTTTTAAATAATTGAGACTAAATTTATTAGTAAGAAAGAGTTGCCTAGTCAAACTGTCAGCCATTAGACAACCTAACATTTCTTTATGTTAAAGGTCCTTGTTTAATAATAATAATAATAATAATAATAATAATAATAATAATAAATAATAACAACAACAACAACTTTATACCCCGCCACCATCTCCCCAAAGAGGACTCGGGGCAGCTTACATGAGGCCAAACCATCAATACAGTAAACACAATATAACATGAAAAACAACAAAAATCAAGAAATAAAATAACATAAAATACAGTATCAATGAAATAAGTAATACAACAATAAAAATCAAAACATTAAACACTAAAAATGGTCACAGTGGGCAGGGCAAATTCAAGGATTAAAATTTAAAACACTGGGAGATAGGGCAGTGTAAAATATCGGGAAGGGGATCCGGGGGATGAGGTAGGACTTGACTGCACAAACCAGAATATAAGGTGCTTCTGAGGGCATTTTATACAGAGTTTGGTCAGGGATTATCATACATTCAATCATTGAAGGCACATTGGAACAGCCAGGTTTTCAGGCTCCTCCTGAAGACTGCCTGGGTGGGGGCTTGCCTAATATCTCTGGGGAGCGAATTCCAGAGCCAGGGGGCCACCACGGAGAAGGCCTTCTCCCTCGTCCCCACAAGTCGCGCTTACGATGGAGGTGGGAGCAAGAAAAGGGCCTCCCCGGAAGACAGAAGCGATCGTGTGGGTGCGTAGATGGAAATGCGGTGACGCAGGTAGGTAGGTCCCAAACTGTTCAGGGCTTTATAGGTCAAAACCTGCACCTTGAATTGGGACCGGAAGATAAACGGCAGCCAGTGGAGCTCCTTAAACAGGGAAGTTGACCGCTCCCTGTAACTTGCACCAGTTAGTAGTCTGGCTGCTGCTCTTTGGACCAGTTAGAGTTTCTGGGCCGTCTTCAAGGGCAGCCCCACGTAGAGTGCATTGCAATAGTCCAATCTAGAGGTAACTAAAGCGTGGACCACCATGGCCACATCAGATCTTGAAGTAAACTTATTTTAAGTCTCTTAAGGGCAGGGTGGGAACTATGTGGCCTTCCAAATGTTGTTGAGCTGCAATTGCCAGCATTCCTTACCATGGACCATATTGGCTATGACTGATTTGAGGGACATCCCTGTTTTCATATGTTGGTGGAATAAGAGTGGAATAAGGCTTGATGGTGAAGAAATAGTTTCTGTATTACTGGGAGCATAGGATAAATAAAAAGCAAGTTATCAATCCTGTTTTATCCAGTACATTTAGATGACAATTCACGAGTAATCATAAAGAATAACCTAAAGATTTCAAGTACCAGCATAATGCACACCTCAGTTTTCAGTTTTCAAAACTCTGAAACCAAAACAAAAACAAAAACAAAAACAGGATTTGCTAGCAAATGTAATGTGCAGTGGCAAAAAATGCACTCTTTGTAATTTGGCAAAAAAGGTGTACATTACAGTGGCTGCATGCTTAGAATTCCTTCTTTAAAAACAAAAGTATTAGAACACCATAGCTTTCAGCAATGGAAGAAAACTTTAGGATACAGCTATGCTGTAGAATATTTCTGCTTTAACTGCCTTGGCTCAATGCTATGTGGTCAAAGGAGCTGTAGTTTGGGATCATGGGGGCTGCCAAAGAATACAAATCCCAGTATTGCATAGTGCTCAGCCATGACAATTAAATTAGAGATGATGTCTCTCAAATAAGAGCTCCAGGTGTTCCTAAAGTAGATTCTTTTTTCTTTGGTTCATCACTAAGATTACTATATTACACAAAGTTAATGCACATCCTAATTTTGGGAAGGTGATTTAGCCAAACAATGTGAGAATTAAAGCAATTACAAAAAGCCAAAGAGTCCAGAGTAATAGCACATTATATTTATTTACATTATGTTTGATAAGATTTAAGTTGACATACAGTACATTTGGAAAGAAATGAGGCCGTAATGAAACTACTTCTCCTTCTAGCAAAAGTGTGAATACGAAATCCATTATAAAACATTCTTTTAAGTTTATTGAATTAAAGGGATGGTATGTGATATTGTTTCAAGATTAGAGACATCACCTTTATATACTTCATACAGCTAGAATAATGTTTCTCACATCGTAACACTAAGCTTTAGCCAGTAGATCAAAATAGCAACAAAACCTTGCATTAACAGCACTGTAGAATTGGGCCCATTTAAATGTAAGACAATGAATCTTTTATGGAACTGCATTTTAATATGTGTGTTTGTTACTCATTATTATTAATGAATCATTACATTAGACCCACTGAACGGTTAGTCAATATTAATGTAAATACCATTGGTTTGATAGGTTCACTCCAGCTATTTATTTATTTATTTATTTATTTTATTTTATTTTACTTTACTTCTATACCGCTGTTCTCAGCCTGAAGGCGACTCACAGCGGTTCACAGCACATAGGAAACAGCAAAATTCAATGCACCAATAAAAAAACAATTAACAACCTAATACACAGTTAGTACACAATTACTATAATAATCATTCACTAACGTCTCATCACTAAAAACACGATCCAGATCCGTCATCCATTGTTCCATTCCTATGTCATTACCAATCATTGCACTAACTACTCGAACGCCTGCACAAACAACCAGGTCTTTACTTTTTTGCGGAATACCACCAGAGATGGTGCTAATCTAATGTCCGTGGGAAGGGCGTTCCACAGCCGGGGAGCCACCACCGAGAAGGCCCTATCTCTCGTCCCCGCCAGCCGTGCTTGTGAAGCTGGCGGGATCGAGAGCAGGGCCTCCCCGGAAGATCTCAAAGTCCTGGTGGGTACATAGGCCGAGATGCGGTCGGATAGGTAGTTTGGGCCGGAACCGTTTAAGGCTTTAAAGGTCAACACCAGCTAGGACTGACATTAAGATTTAAAATAAGGCTTGTTGTTTATAAACTGTTTATAAATCTGAAAACTCAGGAGCCCACCCACTCATTCCTATTTAAGTAAGAGTTTTCTGTTACATTCGAAATAGGAACATGAAGAATTTGGGGAATACATGCTATAGTATTAAAAATTCAAGCAATTAAGATAAGGAGGAAAAGAAAAGCATGACACATATGAATGTGGTTCCTATGGCTTACTAAGTCATGAGTATTCCATCCAAACAGTTCCGCTGTTCATTTAAAAACATTGAGAACAAATACAATTATATTGCATCAAAGTATTGTGTAATTTTCCATTAAAATTTAGTAACTCCTTTCTAAAAGCTGTTAGATGATAGTCTTAAGAAACAGGAGTCCATGCATAAATTATGCCGATTTCATATTTATTTTGTTAAATCAACGTTTCTTAGACAATAGTGTGTAATTCACAGCAAAGAGCTGAATTTTACAAGTATTGGGGATATGAACAATATGAATTAATCCTACTTGTTCAATTCTTAATGATCACAGAAAGGTTTCAATATAACGTAATTATTTCAATATACTGGATTGTCAGTTTAAAATAGGTGTTCACATCTACTTTACAAGTAATTCACACAAAATTACACTTTCTCTAAATTCTGCATCCAATCTTAACAAAATTACATGTTCTGTCCACTAGGCACTAAATCTGCTAAATGCCCCAAATAGGATATTTTTCCAAGTCGATAAGTATTTCAGCTGACACATAAATATGCAGAATTATCAGAATGTTTAGGAAATGGTTGTAAAAACCATATCAATAAACTGATATGATCAAAATGCACAACAAAATAAAAAGATATTGAAGGAGCGCATTGAGAAAATGAGGTACACTGAGGAACACAAATAGTGGCAGATTCCTTTATAGAAAGACCATTTGAAGATGAACCCAGAATTTCAGAAACTATGATGAAAAAGGCTCTGAAACCTTTTGGGGGAAATGAATCACCAGGAACAGATGACATAACAATAGTTCTTTCATGTTGTAGAGATAGAATGCATTTTAACTCTAACAGAAATCTTCCAACAAATATAGATAAAACAATGGAACACAAATTAAAAATGTTGAATATATATTCCCATCCCCCAAAAGGCGGCACCAGGGATTGTAGTAACCAGTAAAACATTGTACTGATGTCCCATACAAGCAAAGAGATGCTCTAATTTTACAAAAAAGGCTTTTACCATACATGGAGCACAAATACCACATATTAAAGCTGGATTCAGAAAAAATGTATGAGAGATCATCTTGTAGGCAATGGAATGTGTCAAAAGAATTTCAGAAAACAATCAACCTAAAAAATCACAAACACAAAAACCTCTAAATGTGTAGATCAGACCTGCACAACTTGTGGCCTTCCAGATGTATGGGCCTCTAACTCCCAGAAGCCTTAGCTAGCGTGTCCAAACAAAATACCTGGAGGGCCACAGACTGTGCAGACCTGGTGTAGATAATGGAAAATCATGGTTTCTTCTAAAAGAAATGGACATCTGATTGTCTTGCTGTATAACTTGTACTTTGGACAAGAGATCAAAGTAAGGATGCAATATGAGGAATATTTTCCATTGCCAAGAAGTCCAAATAAGGCTACATGTGATTGTCCTGCATGTTTAATTTATATGCAAAACATATCATAAAGAAAGTAGTAGGTAAGCAACAATTTAAGATATGCAGATGACACCATATTAACCACAGAAAATAGGAAAGCCTCAGAACTACTATGGAGGAAAGTAACAAAGTAAAATGCAAAAGCGGAATACAACTAAATATTGAAAAACAAAAGTAATGGCCACAGATTATTTCTATCACTTTAAAGTAGATAACAAGGACAGTGAAATAAAAATGTCTATACCTTGTCTCAACTCATTAATCTAAATGTAGACAGCAGATAAGAATTCAGAAGAAAATAAGACCTAGAAAGATAGTCATGTGGGATCTAGATCTCAACTGTAAAGATATATAATTGAATACAAATCAGAACAATCCAGGCCACATGACTTCCAATTTCTATGTGAATACTGGTAAGTGAAGAAACCTGACAGGAAGGAAAATCAAGTAATTTGAAATGTGATGATGGAAAAGAGTTTTAATAGAGACCATGGGCTGCCAAAAAAACCCCAGAACCCCCACCCCCACCCCCCAAACAGATGAATGAGCCCTAGAGCAAATTACGCCTCAACTTTTACTAGAAGCCAGGCTGACTAAACTGAAGGTATCGTGCCTTGGACGTACCATGAAATGAAAGAACTCATCAGAAAGCACAATAATGTTTGGTAGAGCAGAAGGCAATATGAAAGCAGACAGATCATATTATTGGTGAGTTGCGTCAATCAAGGAAGCCACAAGTCTGCGTTTACATGATGTTATCAGGGCAGTTGACAATTAGAGGACTCTTAGAGATCTGTCATCCAGAGGGTTGTCATAAGTCAAAGTCAAGTTGATGGTAAACAAGATCAACAATTACTACCATTGTATATGCTAGTTTCTGGCTGACCTGAGCTGATGCGGTAACAATTTTTATGATGTGCTTCCACTCCATTTTAGATCCATGAAAGAAATAATGTTCTCCATCCTACTTGTAGTCTGTAACTGAGCAGACCCACCACGTAAATGGGATTTACCAATACACCCACAATTGATCTAATCTCAATGAGTCATTACAGGTTAATGTTTTCTTAATAAAAAACATAATGGTTTGGGTAGCTATAAAAAGTATGAGCCTGAACTGCTGAGTGTTCAAAAATGAGCTACACTTATATTTTTTCACAAAATAAAGCACAATGGTAGCTTATACAATATCAACTTCACAGATGTTAAACAGCACGAAAGAAACAGAAACCACAAAACTCCCATGTGTATGTTTTTAAAATGTCAAATTATTTTCAACAGGCCCATTCAAAGACTGTCAACAAGCCAAACAAGCTGGCTATTCCAGTAGTGGTATTTATATGATTAAACCTGAAAACAGCCATGGACCAATACAGCTATGGTGTGAGAACAGCCTTGATCTGGGTGGATGGACAGTTATTCAAAAAAGAATAGATGGTTCTGTGAACTTCTTCACAAACTGGGACAATTATAAGGTAATCCTTTTTTTAAAAAAAATGTGTGGGAAGGACTAACTATAGTATAGTGTATACATTGCATGCACAGTATAAGAGTGAAATGATATGTAAAAATAGTTTAAAGGCTTGTCTACAAAAAGTTTTGTGCCTTTTATATTGAAGCCATCAACATTTACAGTGATACTTTACTTTCTTGAAGGTTAAAGTTTGAATTTGATACTGAACATTGTTTCCTTCCTCTTTCATTTCGTTAGTATTTAAGATTATGAACCTTAGAGAAGAATCATATTTTAAGCTTACATTAAGCACTTTACTGTAAATGCTATACAAATAATAGGATTGTCATTGAATAAAGTAGCACAGTACAACTTATTTCTGAGCGCATGTCTTCATTGCTTAAAAATAATGCTTGACATTTGCACAGAACTATTGATTAGTTTTAATATGTAGGTTTATTATTTTAGATAAACTACTGAATGTATGTTGCAGTAAACAGAGGCAACCCCCTTCTCTCATTCTTTAAATACAGACTTTAAGCACACACACATATTTAAAATGTTTTTCCATCAATCAGAGCACCTTTTCAGCAGTATACTTTTTATACCATTAAGCAAATGTAGGCAGCCCTACAAATAATGATTCTTCTTTCCCTCTGTGTGTTTGTGTGTACACATATATTTTAGATAGTATGCCATTTGCAGAACCCACTTATGATTGTTTTACTCGCCATGCACACTGATGACACTATATAAATTGGTGATGATTATTATGATGGTTATAACAACACAAAACCAAAAGTAACTACAAGGAGGGGAGAAACAGCTCAGGAAAAATCTGGAAAGTTAAATTCCTGCTTTCATAGAATGAACCCTGGTTTCTTTAGAGAAACATGTACTGGTGTTGATTTTATAATTGGATTCTCCACATATAGGCAAGAGATTGAAGTGAATTAAATTAAAGGTAAATGTCTTTTGCAGGATGTTTAAAAGTATAAAGACTATTTTAGCAGTATTTTGACTATAAAGGTTTCTAATTGTCAAATACAAGGCAATCTAATGAGAACTGTGTGTTTGTTTGTTTTTTAACAGAAAGGATTTGGAAATGTTGCTGGAGAATACTGGCTAGGATTGGAAAATATTTACTTGATTTCCAATCAGGACAATTACAGACTTTTGATTGAACTAGAAGACTGGAGTAATAAGAAAGTCTATGCAGAATATAGCAGTTTTCGACTGGAGCCAGAAAGTGAATTCTATCGATTGCGTCTAGGAACGTACCAGGGGAATGCCGGTGACTCGATGATATGGCACAATGGGAAGCAATTTACCACACTAGACAGAGACAGAGACATGTACACAGGTATGAAATGTCACAAGTTGTATCCCAGTTGTATACTTTTTAAAGTAAAAAATGAGTATTCAAGCACTAAAAAAATTAGGGTTTTTTTTTTGGGGGGGGGGTCTGTTTCAACACTGCTAAGTTACTTTTGGCACTAACAAAATCATATGTAACATCTATAATATAACATACGAGGCACATACTAAGTCTTAAAGTCTGTCATACAAGAGTACCATTCTCAGAACATGAGGACACTTTCAAAAATTGTACCTCATAAAACAATATAACAAATTATGTGGACTTCACTCTATTGATATTTAGTGAATTATTTGGATTTTAAAGAAAACTGCACAGGCTTTTGTTATTAAACAGTATACTAAACAATGTACTATTTGCGGCTGCTAGAAGTTTAAATCTTGAAATATAGCGTTATAAAATTATCAAGATTAGGCACACTACCATAAAACATGAACAACTTCAAAATGTTCCCACATACTCAAGACTACAACTGTTAACATATGCATGTGGCTCCTTATACAACAATAACAAGCTACTGTGTGCTTCTGGGTTTATCATTCCTTTCCCTTAGAAATGGGATACAAGATTTGGAGAGCTCAAAATGTATATATGAACTGCTTTCCTATACTAGATATTCATGTTGGAAAGTATGTGCAAAGTTTTGCCACATAATTTTTAGCTGGCAAATCTATAAATTATTTGTGTTAAAATGACTGTTGTCTGTTCCAATATGAAAGCTATTTATAGCTTTTAAATCCTATTGCCAAAGAAGACATGAACACAGAAATGGAGTATGATTATTTCCTCTTTTCTGAAAAAAGGCCCCCTAATGGCAATTGTCTCCCGAGTTGAGATGTTTTATAGCTTATGGAAATTTGAAAACATGAAGTTTGTCCAAAAACACAAAACCAAAACCCTTAAGTCACAAATCAAAAAAAGAGGGAAAAGTGGGGAACTGTGTTTTTCCAGAAAGCAAAGTATTCCTCACTAGGAGCCTGTGAGACAAAATTAATAACACATTTTAAGCTCTCTAATTTATCATTGGACCACAAAAGAATATAAGCGCGATGCTGGAAGAGAGATGGGAAGCTAAACATTAGGAAGACCTAAGTGCCATTGTAGCCTCCTGCTTCTGTATACCAGCAACATTTGTTTTTTATTTATTTTGTATCAAAAACATTGCATAAATTAGTATATAAATTGATACTATGGAGCACATGTGGCTAACTATCTTTTAACCCAAAACGGGCAACAGCAACCGCATACCACTAACAGAGATTCATATAACAATGTACTGTCAAAAGCTTTCACAGCCGGAATCACTGGGATATTGTGTGGTTTCTGGGTTGCAGGGTCATGTTCTAGCAGCATTTTCTCCTGACGTTTTGCCTGCATCTGTGGCTGCCATCCAATTTGGATCCTCTGCAGATGCCAGCCAAAAATGTAGGTGAAATATCAGGAGCAAATGCTGCTAAAACACACACACACCACCCAGAAACCACAAACATAAGATTTACAAAACAGTTATCTCTGATATTGAACTTTTTTTTCTTTATGTATTTATTTAATCTTCCTTTAAAGCCTCAAGTACTTAGAGAATTAGTGTGCAGTAGGGTAACTAAATATTCATACTAAGAAGCAATGTCCAAAAACAAAATGTTCTTATGGAGGAGAAATAATAAAAGAGGGTTATGACAGCTCTGCTTCTAACCATGAATGCTGCATTTCCTGTTAAATTAACTTTCAAATTGTTCCAGGAACCTTCCACTGATATAATAGGATCAATCTTGTAAAGGTGAAGGCAAAGGCTTAGGTAATCGCCTGCAAGTATACATTATTGTCACATACTAGAAGTAGAGACCTCCAGATGAATATGACACAGCTCCATCAAGCACAGGCTATATTGATAGTTGAATACTGTCCATTCTCAAATGGAATAAGCCACTTTGCTGCCTTGAACAGCGTAGGAATGTTTAGTATCTACATTAAGCAGAGTGGAGCAGGGCTAGTGCAATGTGAGCTTCCGGTAGAAACAGGGGAAAGAACTCTAGAAGCTGTGTTGTCAAAGGTTTTCATGGTAGGAATCACTGGGTTGCTGTGAGTTTTTCAGGCTGTATGATCAACTCTAGAAGCTGTTGTGAAATAAAGAAAACACTTTGTTTATTGTCTCAGGAAATCCATCTTAGGATAGCAAAGGAGCCAGACAAAAGAAGCTGGCCTGCACTTGCCTATATGTGGGTGCAAGCTAGCATCCATTGGAGGTTGGAGTCTCATAAATGCTCCTCCCAAAGGAAAACAAAAACACACTCTTTTTGAGAGAAGGGGAAAATTATATATGTAGGTAAGAAGGAAGCAGCAGGTTTGTATACATAGACCAAAGAGAGATACAGAGATGAAAAAGAAAGGCGTGCATTATCTAGACTCCTTTCTTTTGCTAATCACTTTATACACGTTTTGATGTTCGTTTGCTTTCAACGCCCTTTCTCAGCAATGCTTGTCTAAGTGCACAAGATACATCTTCTCTTTTAGGAACCAGAAGTGGTCTCTTAGAAGTGGTTTGGGGAGAATGTGTGTATTTTATTTCTTTTTAAGGACAATAATTGCCAACCTAGCAGTTCTAAAACATGTAAATGTGAGTAGGTACAATAGGTACTGCTCCGGCAGGAAGGTAACAGCGCTCCATGAAGTCATGTTGGGCACATGACCTTGGAGGTGTCTATGGACAACGCTGGATTTTCGGCTTAGAAATGGAGATGAGCACCAATCCCCAGAGTCGGACACAACTGGATTAAACGTCATGGGAAAACTTTACCCTTAACTTTTTAAAAGTCCTTTTCTTGCAGATCTCTCCATAAATGATGTTTCACATCTATGTACCTAGTGCATGAACTGACCATCTCAGTTTGTGAGTTTTGATTACTTTCAAGAGGCTCTATGGGCTTTGGTTCGGTGTTTCCAAGTTTCTCTTATAGCTATATAAATTCCTTGCATGCTTGAGCAGCTGATGCACATTCTGATTCAGTAGATAAGAATGCTGCAGCATTTTGTTTCTTTTTGTCCAGGTAATTGCTCTACCGCCACAGAAATACAAATTCCCACTGGTAGATTTGTGATCTATAGAATCTTCAGCATTTGTGTAAACAATTGATCTGCTACTGCTGATGGCCTTTGGCTTTACTTTATATGTGCAATGCTTTGTAAGTATCTGCACATTCTTTTTGCTGCATTCTAGCCCTTTTAACTTGATGAGTTGTGTTTTATACAAAGAATTCCAAGCCCTGAGACAATATTTGGCACCATGCTGGTGGCCAGATATAGCATAGGTGTGGCCTCTGAGTTAGCCTTCTTGAGTCTTAAGTATCCGAATAGCTCATGAATCTTTTTGTTTTTGACAGAAGAGATAAGCTTCCATCTTCCTCTCTATTTGTATGCCAAGATAATCACTTATTTATTTATTTTATTTATTGTGTCAGGGGCAACCAGACCATTGTATTACATTTCTAACAGAACAAAACAGACAAACAGATAAAAAAAACACAAAGTTTGCAAACTTGGTAGTTGATTAAATGTCCTTTGACCAGTATCTGGCCACTTGGAGTGCTTCTGGTGTTACCACATGAAGGTCCTCCATTGTGCATGTAGCAAGGCTCAAGTTGCATTGCAGCAGGTGGTAAGTGGTTTGCTTTTCTCCACACTCACATGTCGTGGAATCCACTTTGTAGCCCCATTTCTTAAGATTGGCTCTGCATCTCGTGGTGCCAGAGCGCAGTCTGTTCAGCGCCTTCCAAGTCGCCCAGTTTTCTGTGTGCCCGGGGGGGGGGGGGAGTCTCCCATTTGGTATCAGCCATTGGTTGAGGTTCTGGGTTTGAGCCTGCCACTTTTGGACTCTCGCTTGCTGAGGTGTTCCAGCGAGTGTCTCTGTCGATCTTAGAAAACTATTTCTTGATTTAAGTAGTTGACATGCTGGCTGATACCCAGACAAGGGATCTGCCTTGGTCCTTTCACTATTGGCTGCTACTTCCCGGCGGATGTCAGGTGGTGTAATCCCAGCTAAACAGTGTAATTTTTCCAGTGGTGTAGGGCGCAGGCACCCCGTAATAATGCAGCATGTCTCATTAAGAGCCATATCCACTGTTTTAGTGTGGTGAGATGTGTTCCACACTGGGCATGCATACCCAGCAGCAGAGTAGCATAGCGCAAGGGCAGATGTCTTCACTGTATCTGGTTGTGATCCCCAGATTGTGCCAGTCAGCTTTCGTATGATATTGTTTCTAGCGCCCACTTTTTGCTTGATATTCAGGCAGTGCTTCTTGTTGGTCAGAGCATGGTCCAGAGTGACTCCCTGGTATTTGGGTGTGCTGCAATGCTTGGGGGACATGAGAGAAGCCTCCTTGCAGGATTGTAAGACATCCGGGCGCCCCCTGGGCAATGTCTTCGTAGACGGCTGAACATCTTTGCTTTGTACCCAAGCACTCTGATATGGACAGTAGTTTTCTATTGTGCAAAAGATCAAATGGAGTTGTACTGGTTGCATTGCTTGACAGTCTATTCTGTATGTACGTGGCTATAATCACAGCCTTTTTCGAGTACTGGTTGGGTATCCAGATGCATATTACCATTTTAATAGTGATCTATGTTGTGTATAATGTATAACATCCTGCTTTCCCACGTTTGTTTGGACATGATGTATTACCTACTCACCACCATTGTTGGGGAACATGAGAGAAGACTCCCCGCAAAATTACAACACATCTGGGTGTCCTCTGGGCAATGTCTTTGTAGAAGGCTGATTCTCTCACTTCAGAAACGACCAGAAGTGACTTGCAGTATGCAACCAAACAAACAAACCAACCAACGGACCTTTTCAGGACCAACTATGACAATCATCTCAATGAACATTGAAGGCATGTCAGCAGCCAAAGAACAGCTGCTCTATGAACTGTGTCAAGATAAGAATTGTCATGTGTGGTGTGTCCAAGAAACACACAGGGATAAACAACAGAAATGACCAAAAGTTCCAGGAATGATCTTAGTAGCAGAAAGACCACATGCGCAGTATGGAATTGCTGTCTTTGTAAAACCAGGCCTCCAAGTCATCAGTGCCCATAATAATGAAGAAAATAATATAGAGGGTAAAACAGTAGAGCTTAATAACATTATGATTATCTCTATGTACAAGCCCCCAAAAGAAGAGTTTTGTTTCTCCTCTCCTTAGAACTTTGTTAGGCACTAAAGGGCAGTAGTAACGGGTAACTTTCACAGCCATAGCCATGTATGGGGATATGCTCAAGAGGATAAAAATGGAGAGGCTGTCCTCTACTGGGTTAAACTGCACAAATTATCACTTATTCATGATAATAAGCTCCCACCATCCTAAAACAGTGGGAGATGGCACCGAGGATACAACTCAGACCTCTTATTTGTGAGTGACAGCATAGTGCAGCAATGCACTAAATCAGTGGGACCACCAATACTAAACATTCAGCACCGACCAATAGTATGCCAATTGTTCCCAACTATAAGGCCTCAGGAAGCTCGATTTAAACAAAGATTCAACTTCAGAAAGACAGATTGGATTAAATTCTCAGACATGTTAGATGACAAGATCATATCGGTCACCCCAGTCCTAGAGAAATACAAGCGCTTTACTGAAATAGTAAAAACTTGCTCACGGGTTAGGAATTGTGGGAGTTGAAGTCAAAAATACCTGGAGGGCTGAAGTTTGCCTATGGTTGGTTTAGAGCCATACATGGAAGTTTTCTGGATGCTATGTGGAAATTAAAACACACCCATTTTTGCTTGTGTGAGCAATTTCTGCTCACTGAAATCTCTGCTGTAAGAGCCCGGGGGGGGGGGGGGGGACGTACTAGCAAATATATAGAGCAGACAATCTGTAGGAATAATTGAGATCTACATTAAGCAAAACTACTGCAATATGAGCAGTAGTTGGAAGAAACAGGAGAAATGACTCTAGATGGCCTTGTAAGGTGAAAAAAAGGATAATTTGTATTTAGTGTCTCTTGAAATCCTTGGGATAGTAAAAGAGACAGATAAAAGTAGTCAGACTATGTTTGCTTATATCAGCCTCTAATAAGCTGGTTCTCGTGTGTGGGTATAAGCTAGCATCCACTGTTAGACCTTCATGGATCTTCCTTCTGTGGTAACAGAAAAGCAATGAAGCTTATTGAGATAAAGGAGAAATGACCTCATAAGAAGGAAGCAAAAGTGTTGCATGCATAGACAAAAGACACAGATAGGCGAAAAACAAATGGCAGACATTATTTAGCCTCTCCTATCTCACTAATCAGTTTCTACAACTGCTTTTTTTTTGGTCGTGTCAGGAGCAATTTGAGAAACTGCAAGTTGCTTCTGGTGTGAGAGAATTGGCCGTCTGCAAGGACATTGCCCACGGGACGCCCGGATGTTTTAATGTTTTATCATTCTTGTGGGAGGCTTCTCTCATGTCCCCGCATGAGGAGCTGGAGCTGACAGAGGGAGCTCATCCGCACTCTCCCTGGATTCGAACCTGCGACCTGTTAGTCTTCAGTCCTGCCGGCACAGGAGTTTAACCCACTGCGACTGCTGATGCCCTTTTATTTCCAACAGGCGGTACATAGGCTAGAAAACAATTATAACAGGGACTTTGAATGCTTTGAATTTCATTTAATATAGACTGAATATCCAGCATATATCCAGAATGTGCCATTCTTGTAGGCAAAACGCATATCCCCGTAAATGACAGAGCTGTGATACTTTCATAGGCAGAATTACAACCAGGAAAAGTTCCAATAGCAAAATAAAATTTAGCAAATCAGTATAGTTCCTCATTTTAAATATTTTGTAAATATTATATTTAAGATTTTGTAAGAGATGAAAATTTGTTCCCCAGACTCTTTGTATAAAATTCCATACACACATCAGCTCTTATTAAAAGTGTATGAAACTTCCATAAGGGGGTAAGAAAATGAAAAAGTGCTACAGCATTGCTTAGAAATTATTTGAAATGAAATCTGAAAGAGGGGCATTCCCTAAAGAGATTGAGAACATCTGCAAGAATAGCTAATTTCCTGTGGGTAGAAAGAAAAATATTTTGTTGCAGATTAATATACAATAAGGTTGCATTTCTTGAATAGAAGTACAGAGCAGCAAAATTCTTCCAAGTAACTTTTCATACCATCTGAAAATGTCAGTTCTGCTGAAAGACATTGTCTAAGAGGCTGATGACATCTAAGTGATGTAGTACTCTGAGCCTAAACCAGTGTAATGACAAAGGGTTCCTGCTCAATGATGCCCCTTTTCACTAAAACTAGCAAGCAAGCTTAACTTTTTATACTTTGCAGAAGCAATTGTGATAAATCCATGTGCTATGAAGTTGCACTTAATCTTTGTTTACTTGTTTCTTTCTGCAGGAAACTGTGCCCATTTTCATAAAGGAGGCTGGTGGTACAATGCCTGTGCTCATTCTAACCTCAATGGAGTATGGTACAGAGGAGGACATTACAGAAGCAAACACCAGGATGGGATTTTTTGGGCTGAGTACAGAGGTGGCTCATACTCACTAAAAGCAGTTCAAATGATGGTCAGACCAATTGATTGAGACACTCAAAACATTTTTAACTGTCTTTTGAGTTTCATACAAATGTTACATTTCAAGTTGTTTTGCAAATTTCCTTATAACAAGAAATCCCTACAAAGTATTGTTTGAAAGATTTCTTATTGCAGTATTGGATACGTTGCTTATGCAAGTACTATCTGCTCAATAAGTAAGAAGGCAGGTGGGTTTAAAATAAATCTCTGTTCATTCGACTGTTTCTTATTCTAGTATTGGACGTTAATTGAAATAATTAAAACAACCACATTTGATAGAGTACAAAGAAAATTATCAACAAATAATTGCTAAACTGTAGTAGGAGATTCTGCTGCCATGTGTTTTGTGTGAAAATGACTTGTTTTCAAAGGGTTGAAACTATTTAAGTTTTTAATTTCAAAAAAATAACTTCCAGTGGAAATCTTATTTTGAGTTACAAATGCACAATGAGTCATGAAAGACAAAGAATTGGAGGAAAGCTCTGGTTTTGCAAGCATATTTTTGAATTAAATAAAAGCATTAATGTTTCAGCATAGTAGATGTTCCCCATGTGTAGTACAGTTTTTGCAGGATACACAAACCCTGCTAATTTAGGGATGAAGGGCATTATTTGTACACTTTTCTTTTAAATCAGAGATGGGAAAAATGTAGTTCTCCCAAGGTTGTTGGACTGTTAACTCCCAGCTTTTATCATCACTGATATGTTAGATACTAGGTGTGTGACAACACCTAGAGCAGTGGTCCTCAAACTTTTTACACAGAGGGCCAGGTCACAGTCCCTCAAACTGTTGGAGGGTTGGATTATAATTTGAAAAAAAATGAATGAATTCCTATGCACACTGCACATATTGTATTTGTAGGGCTAAAAAAACCCCACTTTAAAACAATACAATAATTAAAATGAAGAACAGTTTTGACAAACATAAACTTATTAGTATTTCAATGGAAAGTGTGGGCCTGGTTTTGGCTGATGAGATAGGATTGTTGTTGTTGTTGTTGTTGTTGTTGTGTGCTTTCAAGTCATTTCAGACTTAACTTGACCCTGAGCGAGGGCCGGCTAAATGACCTTGGAGGGCCATATCCGGCCCTTAGTTTGAGGACCCCTGACCTAGAGTGTCACACTTGACCTACCCCTGCCCTAAATACAAAAACAAGAACCATTTTAATAGTATGCATTGTCTCAAAATAATCCATTACAACAACACAGAGATTAGAAAGTTACTTTTCAAAAGGATGGGATAATAATGATATGCTGAAATAATCTGTAATTGGTTCCAGACTATAATTCTACCACTTTTCAATGATAAAATAACATTGTATTCATTCTTATAAAAACTAAACTCCACACAAGGTAAGGCAAGGCAGTACTATTCTAAAGAGCCCATTGGATAAGGTGATGTACTGAGTCTACATTGCTCTAGGGATTTTTCAATGAATTAGTTCATGTTCTTAACCCATTACACTATGTTAAACATATTTGATGGTAATAAATCATGTTGATTTCAACAGTTTTTCTAACTGGGTAATTAATTTAGGCACTAGGGAAATGGATCTGTGTATTTTACCAATGCACACACTGATGTTGTATGTCTTTTAAAAGTGCAAATATTTAAGACTGCACTCATTATGGATGTGTAATACCTACAAATGAGTACTTTCAATATATGAAGCACTGCAGTTTAATCAAAACTTAAAATGCTCACTTGTGTATAGGTCTCAACCAGTACATTCCACCTACTAAATCTCATTTTATTACCCCATATTCTGGAAAATATTTCAACACAGAGGTGGAAAAACTGAGGGATCAAAATGTCACTTGTAGAGACATCTTGTTGTGAATTGTTTAGTAAGTAATGCTATAGGTTAACTTGCACTCACAGCTACGACTGCTGCAGAGAAATATTGTCCAGAGATATATTTTACCAGAAACTTAATAACAGAATATAATACAGTGAAACATTATCTTTTTCTGGTGATTATTTGTTAGTCACCAATAATGAAATGAGCATTTTTCTGTTTTGTGGTCTACTGCAGAAAATCACAGATGTAAAGAAAACTTTTTAAAAGTAAATCATAGGTGTATAAAATGTGTGCTGTACAATGTATGTTAACAATGGTTCACAGTATTAAGAGTTGTGGGAGTCACAACAGTAATAAGAGATATGTAAGAGTGCAGCCACTGAAAGCTACTGCTTGCATCCCACTGAACTAATCTTGAAGGATACTGTGTTGAACAATATCAGAAATCTCAAACTCAGGCCTGAATTCAGACTAAAATCCATATGGAAAAATTGGGATCATCTAAAAATGGAATTGCAACTCTCTCCAAGTAGATATGAGTAGTTTCTATAAAAATGGCTGTAACATTCCCATCTTACGAAATGCCTTTCTTCTGTGTAAAAAAAGGATCCACCACATTCTAGATACCCATACACTTGGACAGTGTCTCCATATCCTCAGTCTGAGCCAAATTAAGTGAGTGGAAACAAGAGATACTCTCACCAGGCCTTCCACGCCCTCAATGCCATTAGGTTTCCACAGCCTCAATGCAGCAAAATAAAATAAAATCTTTAAGCCTAGCAGTTTGAAGGGCTCTTAAGGAATGCAAACTTTCATTTACTAGCATAGATGTTAATCCTCAAATCACCGAGGATTTCCGATGGACCACTACTTCATAATGGGGACAGAAGGGAGACTTTTTTCCTGCCATTCTTGTCACATAATAGCTAACTTCACAGTCAGATGTGTGTCATTTATATTCCAACCATCATCTGATTTATTCCATTGGTTGCACCTTCCTGGAAGTACCACAAGGTCCAAAAGGACATGTATGTGTGTGACCATGTTGACACCCCCCCCTCCCAAAATTCCCAGCTATGGTAATCAGAAATCCATCAGAATCAATTAGTTTCAGAATAGTGGTAGTGCACAACTGGGCTATTTTAACTGTAGGAAGTAACAGGAGACTTGTCTCTTAAACCCTTCCAGCAAAATTTCTAATAATGACAGCCCCTTTATTGCTGAGAGGCCTGTGAAGTCCGAAATCAGTTTGTGAAAAATGGCTCCAACATGAATGTTTTAGTCCCTCAAGATGATTGCCTGGCTTTCTCTAACCTCAGGATAAAAGCCAACTCAGTCGATATAGCTGGTAAGTCTGCTGGACAGCATGGTGGGGAATGATTCAAGAGGTGAATAAATATGTTCACATAGAGCTGCAACTGTTTTGCTTTTCAGATTTTCTAGATGTCTGGCATCTATATCATTTAAAAACACAAAACTCTGTCAACTCTAAGAATTAAATACTAATTGGACAGGTACAGTGAATGTTTTCTCTTTTTTATATACATGCTGAGATTTGTTAACAATTTCTCTGTCTGCCATAAAAATCACCAGATTGTATTGTAAGATTTGTTACTTAGGACTTCATCTCACAAGGGGGGAAGGGAGTATGTGGAATAAACTTCTTTGTGTGGTGTTTCATGGGGTTCCGTCTCTAAGGAAGACTGAGACTTTATTTACACCCGTCATACAGGATTGTCTCCTCCCACTTTTAGCTCAACCATCCGTTTAATTCCCATCACATGGGCAAGCAATGTCTCCTCCCATTTCAAGGAAACCAGCACACTTTTTAAAACAGACATCCCTTTTTAGTCAGTACTTTCCATGGGATTGTTTGCCCTCGAGCCCCTGACAGTTAAAGAAACAATGGCACTGTTCATTCTTGAGAAACCACTTTCCATCGGATCATTTGCCTTCATGCCTCTTACACCAAAGGAGACAATGTACTGTTTGTTCTCGAGACACCACTTTCCATGAGATTGTTTACCCTCTAACCACTTACACTAAAGGAAAAAGGCACAATTTGTTCTTGAGATACCACTTTCCATGAGATTGTTTGCCCTCAAGCTCCTTACACTAAAGGAGACAAGGCATCCTTTTAAAAATACTTCTTTCAATGGGATCCACGTCATCTTTAAACCACTAATGGAAACAGGAGTATTAGCAGACTGTCCAGAAGAACACCCACACTTTCACATCACTAAAACGATCTAAAATGGAGAAATCTGATAACGGGAACATAAAATCAGCTTAACAGAAGCCTTAAAATAAGGCTTCTGTGCAAATGAGGAGCTCCATTGCTTCCTGACTACAAAAGCCTCAGTTTCTACACACTTCAGAAACGGAGCCCCATGGGCAACTGTTTGGAAGTACTCTCACATTGTATGATGGGATCCATGGGATTCCGTCTTTAAAATCTCTTTAAAGTATTTAGAAATGTGGGAAAGCCAGCGTATGATGAAGTCCTTCATGGTTGCCAACCTAAAACTAAGCTATGGACCCCTTCCAATTGATCCTGTAGTTTTAAGATAAAATCTTCTTAGTAAAGACGGATTTATGTCTAAGTAAACTAGTGGTGCCTAAGTATAAGAAAGCATTAATCCCGGAAAGGGTCAATGCTATATGCCCTCTATGATGAGGGGAAGGTATTTTCAAGAAATGGTTAGAGATTTTGTTTATGCGATTAAAGATTTCTTGAGACTATTGCAAGCATTCTTTTGGATCATAATTTCTACAGGGATATAACAGACAATTGTTCTACCCTATTTTGGTATAGTTATTTGGCAGATCTGATGGAGCCCCTTTGAAAGTGTGTTTATGTGGAAATGGCTCTCCTATTTCCATGTAAATGTTGTCAAAATCTTAAATATTGTGATTGATATTAGTCTTAAAATGCTGAAAGAACGTTTGTCCTTGGAGAAACTGGATCCTGTAACAAGTGTGTTTTCTTTGTTATGGTTGACAGGTCAATAAACATTTAATGTGACTAGAAAGTGATTCCTACAGATTTACTACCTTCGTGTTAAGGAAACAGTTGTCAGGGTTGCCAATTCCCTCCACAGCAGTGCAGCAGACAACAAGGCGCTGGTGGGAGAGAAGTCTGGGGATCACAGCCTATTAATCTGAAGTTTTGAAGGCTGAATGGTTATAGGTTGCTGAAAAGGCCAAAATGTATCTGAGCTGCGTTTTTAAAAGCTTGGGTGTTCTCCACTCATTAAATCTTATTTCCAGAAATCAACAGAATGAGCAAAATCTTTCAAGGAACAGGATGAATGCTGATTTTGTTTCTTTATTATTTTGACAGTGATATGTGACATTTTTGGAGGTTTTTACTAGTTCTTTTTTTAAAATTGTCACCAACTACCTCCTCCTCCAATGAAGAGATGTTGAAGAGCACTGTGTGACATTCTCTCAGTTATTTTCACTGAGAACTTCAAGTTTGTAATCAAACTTGAAATATATTAAAATTGAAATATATTAAAATATATTAAAATTCTGAAATATATTAAATTGTCTAAAAATGACAAGAAACACATCTGAGTGACTAACAGGTAGAATTTCCAACAGCTATCCTTATAAGGCCAGAAAACTCTTCTATTGCAGTCCCAAGGGATTACGTATTTTAAAACTTTTTCCAGTCAGACCTCCTGGCCTAAATCCAATTATTAATTCCAACAAATAGCTTCCTGATTATGGTTCAGTTATTCTAAGAGACACCAACATTCATAAGAAATATGCCTACAATTGATCTCTGCTAAATATTAGTGAAATATATAGATTCAGAAGGGTTACATCAATCAAGTTGCTTTTCTAACTAAAATCCTATCTTGCTCTCATGTCATATGGGAAGCCTCCACTTGCACTCACATGATATTTGTTTTTCAGAAGTAGCTATGCAAAAGGATGCGCTCAGCATCATATTACAGTTTTGTAACATAGGTTCCCATGGCTCCATTTTCCAACTTGTGTAAGAAAAGGGGAAAACCCTTGGACTACCAAATCCTAACCCCAATGTTGCTCTCCCATGTAGCTTGTGGGGAGTGGGGAGACAGGAATATCTGCTGTGGGGGGGGGGGGGAATTAAAAGGAACAAGAGTTGGAAAAGAGAAGGGTAAAGGCTGCAGGATGGTAAAGAGGAAAAACTAGAACTAGAGACTTTTCGTCTTCATGGAAATTGTTTCTTAACTGTGTGCAATGCACAAACAAGGGATGCAGGCAGAATGCTGACTCTCTAAAGCAGCTGACTCTCTAAAGCAACCTTTTTTTGATTGGGGATCACTTTGATCAGGGACCACTCTCCAACATTAGTACCAAAAGGGACGGGGCTAGTCAGCTCTGCAGAAAGGAGTGGAAATAAAATAAAATAAAGAGAAAGAAGGTTTGCAGATTGGATTTTCGTTCTTGTGGCTCACTGCTGGGCCCACAGATTGGGAACCACTGCCCTAAAGAGAGGTGTGGAGACTTCAGACATGTGTGAGAGCCACAGTATTTCTTCTTAAGCATTTTCTTTTAGTTCAGTTTATCAAGAAGAGTTGCTCAACAGCAAAAAAAAAAATGCACTTAAATATTGTCTACTAGAAATAGTTGGTTACTTAGTTCAAACATTATTTTTGGCCCCCTGATATTAAAAGACAAAAAAGCACTGTAGCACTGTAGGCCAGATAACTAATTAATCTTTATTAACTAGAATGCAAATCTTTGGTGCTGTGAAAAAATTTAAAAAGCACCCTGCAAAATATTCAAGGTGTGTGCGTGTGTGTGCGTGCATTTCCTATTGATTTAAATAAGTAGCTCACAATTTACTTGTCTTACTTCAATATATAATTCTTCTGAATAGAAAGGGGCATAAAAGGTATCTTCACTGAAATTGACAAAATCTTGTAATCAAAGGTACTAGATAAAAATCAATTCTTAAATATTGAAATATATCCAAGAAAGAGTACAATATCACAAATAACATGCATGTTCAAATGACTGATGCACACACCCCAAATTTTAAAAAATTTGTTAAGAGGGAGAAAACCAGTTATGTAATATGCACTCTTTTCTAGAGACACAAATAATGGCTAAGTCAAGCTTACAATACTGTAGGCATTTACTGTGGAGGTCAGAATTATCTACAAATTTTGTGTGATGGCTAAAATCCCTCTAGAATTCATCTTTTAGTTGCTGCAGCTTCCATTCCACGGTTGTTAGTGGCTAATGGAGAGTGGAGGGCATCAGAGATGTATCTACTGTTGTGTCTATAACCTACCAAGATCTCTAGAAGATCTTGTGAGGTCTTTGCAAAATATATTGTTTTGTGCCTGGTTCAGAACCAGAAGCTTCTCTGATGTCTCATGCTCTTCACTAGCCATTAGACAGCTTCAGAGTCTGGGATGTGGCAACAAAAAGCCTTGGAAGGAGTGAGAGGGAAGATGTAGTGTAGTTCCACTCCAGGGAACTTTTATGCTATGTCTCCTGAATGCAAAATCTTATTCCGTATTTTAAAAAAAGAGAACATGTGTCTTGGCATGATTTCATGCATTATGACAACTATTTACATATTTTTCAATAAACCTGCATATTTGCAAAAATTGTTTCCACACACATATTGCAAAAATAGCTTTTGTTGTAAATATGCTATATTTTGCACAGCATGCAAGTTTTAGAGCAAAGTTTTTTTTGTAATAAAGGCCAAAATACCCCAAAAAAGATTGAAAAGTATAAATGTGTTCCCTTATGTGAGAACAAAAAAAGGGTACAAATCTATTCTGCTCTACTCCTTCTTTTATCTGAAATTTAAATACGCTTTGGAACTATCATTGGGAAAACATAGACTTTTTTGTTCTATTAAACCTTAAAAGCTTACATTCTCTTCCAGCTTCTTTCTTCTGTTTGAAACTGAAAAGTCATCGGTTTAGCATTATCTTTGGATGAAAACATGTTTTAAAATAAATATTGGAGGTATTTTTTAATGCTAAAACTCATAGTGTAATAAATGTTAAGTCTTAATAACCAGTCAGGAGATTATTTCATGTAATTCGTAAGAAGCTTTTCAAATGAAGGTGACATCTTAAGTTTGTATCTGTGTAAAAGCATCACCAGATACTCAAAATATCAGTACAGAAATTAAGGAAGCAATTGACATTTCAGGCATAAATAAATATCTTCTGTCAATTTAAACATAAGGCCATGCCCATTATGTTTAAAATTTGTCTAATATTCCGGACGATGAAACCATCAAATTGACACTGCACTCTGAAGAACACAGTGTTTAACAAAATACTCTAGTTAAACACCAAAATATTTTAATAAAAACATCCACTTTTTCAAAAGAAATGTAAGTTGTCCACATATGGTTCATAATAAAAGGTATTTTTATTTACACATCTGAAAAGATAAGTAGTTCATCTTACCTAAATAAGGAATACAAGGAGTCATCTTCAAGCTGCTAATATAATCTCTAAGCCTTTTATAATTATCTTCTTTGCTCATCACATATTCCAACTTTTCAAAGGTAGTTTTGTCCTTTCGGCTCAGTAACTTTTTGGCAGAGAAAGAATAAAGAAATAGTTACTGTGAAAGCTATTTTTTTTCAATTAACAAAGCATTTTTACTTCAAATAAAATTAAAAAGTTCAGGTCTGTTAAACATTCTGCAATAAACCTATCAGAAAATTACCACAGCATTATTCTTGTATTATCTAATAGAGTAAAACAGTGCATCAGTATATATAGTATAATATACGTAATAAATAACAATAAAATTAATACAACAATTACACTATGTTCCTGGGTTATAAATGTCATTTCCTAATTGGTTCTATCATAAAAATATGGAAAAAAGTTTATTAAACTGCAAAAAAAAATTGTTTTGGTGGGACATCCTGCAGAACATTTCACTATAGTTTTTTTTAAAATCAATATCTCATATAGTTTCAACCAATTTAACATTATTTGTAAAAAGGTAAAGATAAAGGTTTCCCCTGATATTGTCTAGTCATGTCCGAATCTGGGGGGTGGTGCTCATCTCCATTTCTAAGCTCAACAGACACCTCCAAGGTCATGTGGCCAGGAAGAATGCATGGAGCGCCATTAACATCTTGCAGATGTGGTACGTATTGATCTACTCACATTTGTATGTTTTCAAACTACTAGGCTGGCAGAAGCTGGGCCTAACAGCGGGAATGCACCCTGCTCCCTGGATTCGAACCACCAACCTTTTGGTCAGTAAGTTTAGCAGTTCAGCGGTTTAACCTGCTGCGCCACCAGGGGGCTACAAACACAGTTTGTAGTACCCACAAAAACTAAGTTTCTGGAATATAACAACTACTTTCAAAGTAAGTACCGTACAGTTAAACAGAAAATAACACTGTTACACCAGGAACAGATTTTTTTGGAATTTTGTTACATAGTGTTATTAATAAAATAGTCTTAACTATTTTAATATAAAGCATTTATTTCCCTCACTAGCACTGTAGTTGATTAGATTATCTCTGAGGTCCCCTTTCAACCCTGGGATTCCAAGTACCAATAATACTTCAACAAAAGGCTACTATCCAATTCAACTGGTTTCTTTAAAGAGCATGACAGTTTCCAGTCGTGCTGAAAGCATAAACTGCTGCAGTAAGATATAGGGTGAGTAGGCTCTATATGTGGGTAAGACATAGAAAAACATACACATCTCTTTAGATGATTTCATGTTACAAATGAGACAGTCAGTGAAAGTGAGTTACAGTTTCATTTAGAACTCTAAATGAATAATGTTTATAGAAAGAGGCCAAATTAAAGAATGGTTGAATGATCATGTACAGAAGTACCACTGAATACTAACTGGGAGTCTATTTAACAGAAGAGTAAAGTAGGCAGATATGAAGAAAAATTAACTCCTCAAACTTTTTAAACAGAGGGCCAGTTCACGGTCCCACAGACTATTGGAAGGCTGGACTATAGTTTCTTAAAAAATGAATGCATTCCTATGCACACTGCACATATCTTAATTGCAGTGCAAAAAAATCCATGAAAGAACAATACAATATTTAAAATGGAGATCAATTTTAACCAACATAAACAAACTAGTGTTTCCAGGAGAAGTGGCCCTGCTTTTGGCTGACGAGATAGTCATGTTGATTAGGATTTTTTGTTGTTGTTGCTGTGTGACATCAAATCATTTTGACTTGGGACAACCTTAAGTCTAACATTTAGGGGGTGGGCAAATGACCTCAGATGGCTGCATCCAGCCCCCGGACCTTAGTTTGGGGACACCTTATTTAGAGCAAATATTTTTTGACAAAGAATGTATCTGTGGTTTCAGATTAGACAAGAGTGAAGATGAATAGTCACCTGCACAGATATATTTTATGTAGAATCTAAATTCTATCAGTTTAAGTCATTTTCCTTCTCTGCAGAGTATTAAAACAAAGCAAGGTTAAAAAGAAATCCTTCAACCATGTGTTATTTTTCATCCTGGGAAGAATTGAAACTGGATGAATGCAGTATCTTAGATGACCAAAAATACCAAATTCAAAGCCTGATCCTTGTACATAGGTATATTTCATCAAGCTATTAGGATAAAAAATGACTAAAACCACTACTACCAAACTCTGTTATAATAAACATGATAGCACTTTGTATTGTCGAAGGCCTTCACGGCTGGAATCACTGGGTTGTTGTAGGTTTTTCGGGTTGTATGGCCATGTTCTAGAAGCATTGTCTCCTGACGTTTTGCCTGCATCTGAGGCAAACATCCTCTGAGGATGCTTGCCACAGATGCAGGCGAAAAGTCAGGAGAGAATGCTTCTAGAACATGGCCATACAACTCGAAAAACCTACAACAACCCAAGCACTTTATTGCACCTTCGGAACACACTGCTATAGAAATTAGAATCACTTCATAATTTTATGGAATGAACTCTAGTCAACAAAACCACACAAAATTCTGAGACATATTTTGCAACAAGCTAAATCTTAACAGAAATAGTTTTTGTCCATGCGTATGTGTGCCATGGGTGCCATGTTATTTATTTGAACCACAAAGTGCCACAAATATTGTTGGGCTCAGTTAGCCAAGGATACTGCGAAACCACTAAATCATTATTTGAGCTATTCTGTTTGATTTTACACTCTTTCTATCGCCAAACTTTTAAATGCTGTTTAGCAGTGGAACTCTCTGCCCTGGAGTGTGGTGGAAGCTCCTTCCTTGGAAGCTTTTAAATGGAAGCTGGATGACCATCTGTTGGGGTACTTTGATGGTGTTTTTCCTGCATGGCAGAGGGATGGAGTAGATGGCTCATGTGAGCCCTTCCAACTCTATTATTCTATGCTTCTAAGTAGCTTTCTTGGCCGGGCCCAAAAGTAAGTAATTTAGGGAAGCCGTGATATTCAGAATATTGCTTTTTTGAGAAAAATAAGGTTAAAAATGAGTGGAAAATGAAATAGATTATAAATTATTTATGTTAATAAAATGGTTCAAAAGATTGGGTGTTTTAAATCATAAGGTAGCAGGGAAAATCCCACATGTCTATTGTTGAGTTTCTCAGACCTCTGTGAGAAAGGAGTGGGACACTTCAAAATGAATCAACTTATTACTTATTATTAATGTATACATCTGAAAGTCAACTCCAAACCTGTGTTGACTTATTCACAGATCAATGCTGGAAACAGATGCTGATGGTACTGGCTCGATGAGCTTCCTGTGATTTTGAGCGCTTGAGGTGGAGCAAACCAACAGGGGCCATTTTTAACAGAGGCTTGCTGTAAAACCTCCACTCTACCTCAAGCTTTATCCTCAACTTATCCATAGGTCCTAACAAAATACATTTTGACTTATATATGAGATCAACTTATAAACAAGTATTTGTAATAAACTAATCTGTTTCAGTATTTTTGTCCTCTTTTTTTTCATGCTTAGTGCTGCCTCCTTGCTTGTTCGCAGCTGTTAATATTAGTTGTGGAAGAAAGTAGCAATGCTTCGTTTGCAACATGAACAACCACCCCCAACACTGCTGCCACTTTTGCTACAATTTTCAACACCAATTTGTAGAAATGCAATTGGTTCATTGGTCGGTGCAGTTTACTTACCGCCCACGTTTTCGTCAACCTGAAGATGGGAGCACTTTGTAACCCAGATACCACAGCCATAAGAGCATGTAGATTATTTAACTCATAGAGTTTCTGAGAACAAGAATAAAACAGATTTCAATACTGAGCAAAGTGTTTACCAGAATTTAAATTTTTATTCTGTTTTAAGGCTACACTGTTTTAAAAAAACAAACAGACAGTACCAATTTCAACAAACTATTTAGGCAAATAAAGCTCTTGCAAATCATTAGCAATCCTAAGGAAAGGCAAAGCTTTTTTAAGGGTGTATTTTGATATTCACCTAAATAGGAGACTGCAGAAAACTGGTTTTTCCATGTTCTTTGTTTACCACCATCCCTAAGAGCCTATTTAAAACGTTCCCTTGAGAATCACAGACCCTGTTGGATATAGCACATCATGATAATAGGACTGAATGGGAAAGGAGAGCTTATGCAAAACAGAGAGGCAACTTCTTTAAGTGCAGAAGGACCTCTCCCTAGCTCTACCTTTTCAGCCTCCCACAATACTTCATATACCTTTTAGACTGTTTCTGAGAAATAGCAGAGACAGAAATAAGTGAGAAATCAGCTCTTATGTGACTTATAAGTAGACATATCAATTTAACCCTTTGCCCTAGATCAAGGTCACACATAAACATACTACTGTTCAATAGCTTAACCACGATTAAGAACAGGATCACATTCCTTTGTTTGCACTCATTTCAATGTTATATTTGGTTAGTTATGTTGAAAATAGAGAACACAGAAGGATCTGAGAGTGAGTGAGAAGGCAAGATGGAGAAGCACAAATGCACCACAGAATACCATTTGAATGCGGCACCTAATAAATCCAATGACTGGGCTCTTGTGTATAAATGGGTGGCAATTTTGGGCTGGTAGAAAAACAGAAGTAATAATCTGGTGCAGAAGGAATGGTGTGAAACATTGGACTCAACAGGAACCGATTTAAAATACAGTAGAGTCTTGCTTATCCAACATAAACAGGCCGGCAGAACATTGGATAAGCGAAAATGTTGGAAAATAAGGATGGATTAAGGAAAAACCTACTAAACATCAAATTACATTATGATTTTGCAAATTCAGCACTAAAATGTCATGTTTTACAACAATTCGGCAGAAAAAGCAGTTCAATACACGGTAACAATATGTAGTAATTACTGTATTTACAAATTTAGCATCAAAACATCGCAATTTATTGAAACAGCTGTGGATCCAGGCGGGAGGCAGATTGTGTTGGATAATACAGAACGCTGGATGAGTGAAGGTTGGATACGTGAGACTCCATTGCATTATTTCTAGTTAGCAAGGGAGGTGACAATGTTGACTGGGCAAAAGATGGAGAGGATACAATGGAAATTGGAGCAGAAGTTGGGGAAGGAGTGAGTAACTTGAAAAGTTGGCTTAGGCATCATGTTAGCAGGGACAGGCTGCATGCATGTTGGGGTGAGGGCTTTCTTTTCACATGGGTTTTCTTTTCACATTTACAGGGGTCTTGTGACTCAAATCCCTATGAAAGAGAAGGGTTAACTGTAGTACATTTCTAACTTGGATCTGAACATTAAGTCCCAAAAAGGATCTTCTTACCTTCGCAGTTTTGATATAGTGGCTCAGAACTTCAGCTCTTATTTTTAATGTCTGTGCATGAAGGATCTCTCTAACAACCCAAAAACTTACCTAAAAACAAAAAGAATATGTAAAATGACACATAGAAAAGTCCAGGGAATAAAGTTGGGAGATGTTGATGCCATTACCCAATGTTTTCATATTATAAAGATGTTTAAATACTTCTTTTAATATACTGACAACAATGTATTTATTGATAACTAGCTAATGTATCCAGCATTGTCCGGGTATGCATTTTCTAATGCTATATATAAGAAATACCCATTGTTACTTTGATTATTTTATGAATGGTCCAATGTATACCATGGCAATGCCAGCTACATAAGTTAGTACATTATATGAAAGGGTTTGTAAGTAATTAGGACATAATTAATATGCTTCATAAAAATAACAGCATAACTTAGCTTCAAACATAGGAAGTCAGAGAGATTTTAAAAGTTGTGTGTCAAAGTTACAACAAGATTTCGCAAAGGAAAAAGATAGAATCTTAAAATCATACATATCAAATGTTTTTAGGAATACATTTGGAACAACACATGCAAAATAAAACCTTACATGGTTGAATCTTCTTGTAAAGGCAACAGCGTTTGGTGCAGAACTGTATTTCTCCTTTTTATTCCAACCACAGCTTGAGAGTTCCTAAATCATAAATAAGAAATAATTTTAGATCAATCTAACTGGTGATACAGATTTCAAAACAACAATTTTTTCCCTTTTATGTCAAACATATTTTTTTTTCCCTAGAGGTAAGAAGGAAGTCTGGATTTAATGTTTACAGATCAGATTCTTACTATTCCTTCTGCTTAGATTTTTATAGGCTCAGATTCAAACTTTTAATAGGTAGCTCTTTTGAGAACTGGAGGCAAACAGCGACATGCTGCATAATTCTTTTTGAGTTCTAATCTCTAATACCTTTAATATAGTTATAAAGCAATGATGGTAATAAATTTAACATGAATCCATTTCTTTGCTTCTGCATTTAAGCTTGCTCTTTAGTATTGTTAATATATTTTTTCAGTTTACAAATTGCAGAAATTATTAGGGTAGTCTATTATGATTAGATATTACATGCTGGAAAGCACATATTGTCATTAGCTTGATTTGAACATAATGGAAAACAATCTGGCTATATGAGTTTGAATCAAGGACTGAGAGAAGGCCCTCCCCAGTAGATCGTATATGTCCCCCAGGTTCATAGAAAAAGATGCGGTCCTTCAGATAACCTGGACCGGAGCCATATAGAACTTTGTAGGTCAACACCAGCACTCTAAAGTAGCCAGTGGAGCTATCGCAACAGAGGAGTTGTATGCTCCCTGTAGACAGCCCCCATTAGCAGTGTGACTGCTGCTCTTTGAACCAACTTTTCATATAGAGCACATTACAGTAGTCCAACCAGGATGTAACCAAGGCATGTACCACTGTGGCCAGATTGAACTTCTCCAGGAATGGGTGCAGTTGAAAAGCACTCTTGGTCACTGCTGATACCTGGGCCTCCAGGTTCAGAGCCAAATCCAGGAGTACTCCCAAACTGTGAACCTGTGTTTTCAGGGAGAGTTCAACCCCTTCTAACACAGGTTAACTCCCTATTCCTAGATCTGTCTTATGACTGACTAGGAACACCTCTGTCTTGTATGGATTAAGCTTCAATTTGTTTGTCCTAATCTAGTCCATTATAGCTGCTAGGTACCAGTTCAACACAGGAACCGCTTTCTTGGAATTAGGCGAAAAGAAGTGATAGCGTCGGGTGTCATCTGCATATAGATGGCACTGCACTCCAAAACTTGTGGACTGTCTGTATTTTATTTTTAGTTAGGCCATGTCTATGGTATTGGGTACAGTAATTAGTTTTCTGTCATTACTTAAGTTTTAACTCCACACAGGTATTATGGATATATATACAAGATGTTTCTCTTTTCTTAATCCTTTTTTTCTTTGTCCCAGTTTTGTATATTATTTGTTGTGATAAGATGGTGTGAACTAGCTTGTAGGTTTCAAAAGCTAATAAATATAAATCTTAGAAACAAGAAAAACTAGTTGCTCCATAAACCAGTGATGAGCTTTTGCATTAAAAAAAATCAATTTTTCCACAGTCTCTGACCACAAGTTACATCGGGTGGATTTCATGTGACTCAGATGGAAGGCGTTAAGCTACCTACTTCCTTCTCTTTCTTTGTTCTTGGTATTGTAGATTGGCATTGTAGAATCTCATAAACAATTCAATAGTAGACAGATGGTCATGTGTGTATGTGTGGAAATTATTCACTTAAAGACAGTTTTTAAAAAAAGTAAACTAGTAAGAAAGAGTGCTCTTATTTAACCTTTTGATTGTAAAAAAATGAATTATTACACAACATTAATTGTAAGTTAAGACTATTAAAAAGACTACATTTTTAAGTGGCAGCATTCATTCAGGTAAATTAAAAGAACATTTGATATTTTACAAACCAAATGAAGTTGATAAATTTGCTTTTTCATGGGCTCTTACAATAATTCCCCTGTACTAGCATGAAAGCAGTATTTACGACATAGAGGCACAGTACTACCTTCTATAAGAAATTCCTTTTGGAAGAGATTTGTTTGCTTTGGGAGATTTTTGTGTTGAAAAGGTACACACACAATTAAGCATACCAAAAACATTGCAAATCCTCAGTATGAGGTAAATTAAGGACATATTCAGAGATAATAAATAAGTTCAGTCAAGATTGTGTTAAGCATCTGTTTATGTCACAGCAGTTGAAAGCCATCTTTTAAGGATATTGGCTAGAGAACTGAAATTGCATGATTAAACAGAATATTTATTAATGAAGTAACAGCTTTATCAAAATGAGAACTCCCCAAACCAAAGCTATTCACTTAGACCACTTGGGTATGTTTTTGTTCTTATGCCATAAGAACAACTCTAAAATCAAGCACACATGGAGGGAAATAGAATGTTCTCATTCCGTTTATAGAAAATACAAAAAGGAACTACATACTGTACACTTTTAAAAGACTGACATTTTGGTCTCAATAATGTCTGATCTGAGGACAGTTTACCTTCAGATCCAGTGTTTTCTAAATGCAATACTTCTTCAGTTCTTGTCACCAAAGATTCCTACCTGCACATTTCGAAAAATTGCCAGAGAAATGGAAACCAAATTCTTTCAATACCAAAATATGTGTATAGACTGGCATCACTAGAACATCTGTCCCTACTTTACATAATAATATAATAAAACTTTATTTATATACCGCTCTATTTCCCCGAGAGGACTCAGAGCGGTTCCCAGGTAAAAATAACAAAACATACAAAGTAAAAACAACATAACCATAAGATTAACAAAACAAAATATAATTTTGCATGTCACACTTACCTCTGGTTGAATAGCTTTAAATACGGGTATATCCATTAGTGTTATCTGGCCCTTAAAAAAAGTTTTAGAAAAGTTAGAACTGTTTTTCTCTGAAATGTGTGCTTTAAGATTGGACTTTTTACTGTTTAATACTAGATAAAGATATATCAGAACCAGTGTCATAATTAATGCTGGAAGTAAAATTCAATGTCAAGTTTTGCTATTTTACTTTCATAAGAACTTAAGAAAACTTTCTTGTTCAGAAATTTTAATCAAGTAAATTTCATGTTATATTAATCTAAGTAGACTGATGGGTCACTTGTTGGTGATGAAATGCTTTGTGCTGCCATTTCACTATAGTAAATTTGTTATTACCAGTTAATATACATTTTCCATTTATGAAGGAGTTGACGTCAGAGAGCAGAAAAATAAAGAAGTCAAAGGTTTGGCATACCAACTCCACAGCCCTGATTAGAATGTTGGTAAGTTCCATTTCTCCATGTTCTGGAAACTTGCTAGACTAGGGAAGAAAGCCTTGTCTCTTCGCTAAGAAACCAAAACAAAACTTTCAGCATCTGCTGTGCTCAAAGTGACAGACAATGGAAGATTAGCCGGAAATTGTAAAAAGGGAAGAGATAATCAATATTAATTTACCAAACATATACTTGTTAATAACTTACTGCATATTCCTCAGGTGTAACTTTCAGAATATCAAATACTACTGCATCAAAGCTTTTCTTCAGTTCAGCAGAACCCTTATCACTTAATGACTCTGAGCTGCTACTCTTCTGTGAAAAGGGAGAGAAATCCTTTTAGTACTAAGTTGAAAGATAAACGCACATTTGCCACCAAAAGAACAGGTTCTCTATAGGAACATCTTAATGCTATACAGAAACATGTAGCACTAGCAACCAGTAGATGGTAGTGTCTGATTCAAGGGTGATGAACCAAATATCTCATACAATAAGTCCACTTCTCTCCCAAGATTTGTATATGTCAGTCTTCTTCAATGAAGGATAGTAGACACATTCCTACTTCACATCTTTGAGACATATGGAATAAAGAATCTTTGTCATGAATGCGGGGATATGTCACAGAAATTGTTTTATCTTTGTGAAAAATATGTGATTGCATTAGAGGGTGTATCAACAAATAGCACCCTTAGTTTACAGACTTAGATGATTGCTATGGAAAACACAATCTTCAAAGTAATATTTATTAGATTTATATAAAATTGAAGAATTATGTTATAATTATTTAAATCACAGTCCAAATAACCAGTGAGAAAGTTACTATTTAAATATTTTTAGTAGAAATACATTTATTTGGAGATGTATGCTTCATTATTTATTTATTTCCCATATTTGTACCCCACTCTTCTCATCCCTTAGGGGACTCAGGGCGGACTTACAACAGGCAACAATTTGATGCCAACACATGAAAAATGTTCTTGTTGCTCGTCAAGGCAACTCTGACTTTTATTCAGCAGAGGTTTGCTATCGTCCTTCTTTTAAGTTGCAAGTGTATAATTTGCCCAAGGTCACCCAGGCAGTTTTTATGACTGAGTTAAGATTTAAGTCCTAATCCAACAGTCAAACCACTATACCATGCTGGTGTTAATAATCAGAAGGTAAGTACATACTGAGCATTTATTTGGAATTGTTTGCACGTCTATTTGAAGAAAATAAAAAAAGCGAACTGACCAGTGGGGCATCACAGGGTTCTGTCATGGGCCAGGGGTTTCCAACATCTTTTATTAATGACTTGGATGATGGAATAGGAGGCAGTCTTATCAAATTCACAAAGGACACTACATCAGGAGAGATAGCTAATACTCTGGTGGACAGGATCAGATTAGAGGCTCAGGTATTGGAAAGGCATTTCCTGGGTCAAAACTAAAAAAAAAAAAAGAATTCCAATAGGGGAAAATGTAAGGTACAGAAAAAATGAAGTGCAGATAAAAATGGAAAAAAGCAGAAAAATGAAAGGCGCAAAAATAGGATGGGTGGTATCCGGCTGAAAACAGTACGCGTGAAAGGGATTTAGAAGTCTTAGCAGATCAGAAGGTGAACATGAATCAAGAGTGTGATGCAGCAGATAAAACTGAACATTAAGAAGAACCTCTTGGTGATAAGAACTGTTTGATAGTGGAGCATGTTACCTTGGAGTGCAGCAGAGTTTACTCCTTTTCAGGTTTTTAAACAGAGGTGGGATGGTTATCTGTCAGGAATGCTTTGTGTTTCGGCAGGGCAAGTGATGGACTGGACAGCCCTTATCATCTTTTCCTGTCTGCTTTCCGTAGGACACAGGGACACCCTTTGTAGGTCACATCCAGCAGGCCATTTATTGTTTAGACCTGCTGTAAAGGATACAACAAGCTCTGGCATATCTTCTGCCAGGACTTTTTGAAGCACTATGGCCTGTGGCAAGGTTAGAGTTATTTAACCTCAACTAGTTTGGTTTTAGCTGGGCTACCAGCTGTACTGAAGGCTTACATTACTAAAGGCATTGACAAAAAGCGTGGAAGTATGGGCTCTGATGTAATGCCAGCTTGGTTTGTGCTTCATCATTGACTGGTTGTTCTGGACTCACCACTCAACTGAAATATATAGAATTAAGTACAATGACACTGCATTAGAAGAATGTGACCATTTTCTACCTCTTCAGAGAGCTTTCCTTCTTCATTGTTGCTGACATGAGATGTGACATCAGGTCCTGCTAAGAGTACTATATATTTGTATTGGCAAGGAGAGCAGGAGAGAGTTGGGACTGAGCTCACAGATAAGCAAAGATTGTCAGACCTGTTTCCCCCATAACTTGATAAGGCCTGGATCTCCATCTGTGATCCTTTTTGTGTGTCTGCTCTGATTTACTTTCAGAGAGGTCTCATTCCTTTTTTTCTATTTTATTTTGAGATGGAAGATATAGTAATAGAGACTGATTCCCATGTTATGCCAGCTCCACTGGCTGCCTCTTTGATACCGGGCACAATTTAAAGTGCTGGCTTTGGCCTATAAAGCCCTAAACGGCCCCAGCCCAATTTACCTGTCCGAACGCATCTCCCCCTATAAACCATCACGGAGATTAAGATCCTTCGGGGAGGACCTGCTTTCCATCCCGCCATTGTCACAGGCGCGATTGGTGGGGACGAGAGACAGGGCATTCTCAGTGATTGCTCCCTGGCTATGGAACCCCCTTCCTGGTGAGATCAGATCGGCCCCCTCTCTCCCGTACTTGGTAAAAACATGGCTGTGGGACCAAGCTTTCGGGACAGGGCAATAAAGATTATCAGGCCAATTAGATTTGATACTGATGACTAGGATGGTTTTAAATGGTGTATTTTAATATTGAGATAAATGTTTTTAATGTTTATGTATTTGTATATGAATTTGTGAACCGGAATTGAATGTTTGCCATAGATATGCTGTGCTCCGCCCTGAGTCCCCTTTGGGGTGAGAAGGGCGGAATATAAATGTTTTAAATAAATAAATAAATTCCATGCCTAGCCCTCAGCACATTCCAATGATAATACCTAGCTACCCTGTTGAGCTGAAAGGTCTGGACCAGTGGTTCTCAACCTGTGAGTCCCCAGATGTTTTGGCCTTCAGCTCTCAGAAATCCTAAAGCTGGTAAACTGGCTGGGATTTTTGGGAGTTGTAGGCCAAAACGCCACAGGTTGAAAGTCACTGGTCTAGACTCAATGGGATCCTCACTCTCTTTTTAAACTTATTTAATGCTACTCCAGGTTTAACACCAGGTCACTAGTAGTTCTATACTCAGTTCCAATGCCCCCTTGGACTGCTCTAATTTTAAAGTACCTCTGATCAAGTCCTTGCTCCATCACCCATTACACCATGATTTGAAAGGCAGTGTTGTGGAAAATAATCCTATTTTGATTCGTTACTGTTTGTTTACTAATTTTTTAATTATATGTTTATTATCATTTATTTTGTTTATACTGTTAGATTGTTGTAAGCCGCTCTGAGTCCCCTTGGGGAGAAGGGGTAGGATACAAATAAAGTTTTTTTTATTTATTATATTTACATAGCTGTCTCTGTCCCTTTGGGCAAGAGGGGGGCAATATTTAACAGATTTATGTTAGTCTTGCATAAAGTGTTAAGAAGACATAATAAGGCTGAAAGCAGCTTCCAGTGAACAAATTCATACTAGTGATGCATCTCTATTACTAGACCACTAAGATAGACTTCCATTTTACTGCTTATACATTCTTATCCAGCAACTGTCAAAGTACTTCATCTTCATTTCCAAATAGCCTCTTAAAAGTCTAAAAAGGATAGATTTTTTTTCGTTGGTATTACTTGCTGTGGAGATCAGCTTATATTTTGACCAACAGATCTCACAATCTCTGAGGATGCATGCCATAGATGCAGGTGAAACGTCACGAGAGAATGTTTCTGAAACACGGCCATACAACCCAAAAAACTCACAACAACCCAGCAACAATTAAGTTTCCTCTTTGCATCCATCAGAAGGGAAGAAGGGTCCTTTAAGAGCTCAGAATCCAAGCAAGTTTTGAAAGTATTGCCTGTTTGTGTGGAGAAGATTCTTATTCACTTTACTGACTTCTTGAATGGTTATTAACAATGATAATTTTTAAAACGTAGCATTGTATCATTAAATCAACTTCAGCTTTTCTTTCAATATCTTTCTATTGGCCAAGAATAGCTGCAGTGATGTAGGCAAGAAACAACAGGACTTTCAGAAAAAGAAGAGATTCACAGAACAAGCACTTACTAATTACAGTATTGTTTTTAGGTAGTATTTTACTCTCAAGCTGCATTGTTCTTTTTTTACATCTATATTATGTCCCTGAATTTTAAAAAGCTAACTAAAGAGACTCTTAACTGACTCCTTACCTCTGAAGCAGTAGCTGCAATATTAACACTGCTGGGATGTCCGTTCATTAGGTCCATACTGCCCACACCATTAGTCTTCTGCCCTACATTTGTAGCAGCTGTCTTTATTCATTCATCTTAAAAGATTCATAATGCCTAAAAGAAAATGAAAAATCAGTGTTTCATAAATCACCCAATTCCTCATAACACAGAACAGAATCTTTGGCAATCTTTAGGATTACAAAATAATCTAAAGAAAAACACACTGGCATTGAAATTTCATATTATGTGGAATGTCACTGTATTATCCCAATGCATTTCAGCTATTTCTTCTGAAACAAAGCATCAAGAAAACACGCATAAACAAAGAGGACTCAACAAACCTGAATGCAATATGAAGCTCTATTCACCTTTTGGGTATAAAACTTACTGTTTTAAACTGTTGTTATATGTGTTTATATATTATGTCATGGCATCAAATTGTTGCCGGTTTGTAAGCCGCCCTGAGTCCCCCCCTCGGGGGTTGAGAAGGGCGGGATAGAAATGTTGGAAATAAGTAAATAAATTTCCTCTTTTCAAAATTAAATTGGACAAAAGAGGGTAACAGGAGAGCAATGTATCAATATATCTGAAATAGTTAAAATAGAAATAAATATTTGGAAGACAAAGTCGAACTTGAGTATTACTAGTTGTATAGCTATCTAGATCCTATTTATATTTGTAACCATTAATGTAAAGACAATGGCTCATGTTAAATACTTTACAGCATGCCTAATTGTTCTGATGTTTAGACAACACTTTACAAGGAGAATTTGATTTCAGATTAAAAAGAAAAGATTTTCATTGCTTTCCAATAGATGTTGCATTAGTGCCCCCTTCTGTTGAGAACAGATTTCTCACAAGTTTCAATTGATCTTATTTCATAATAATGATGGTGGTGATTTCTACATTTACCTTAATTAGGCTATTGATACAGATTATTATATTATTGTATTTTGGCTATTGAGATACTATGCACTTATGCCTTTTGTCCAAGTATATATTCCTTTCTCAGTCCAAAGCAACGAAGGAGAAAACACGCAACCAAAGTATTCCCCCCCCCCCAAATGGAACATTATCAGTTACTATTTCAGAAACAAGTCAGAACAGTAATCAAAATAAACCTATTATAAATGTCTTCAGATGTTTTGGTCTTCCAACTCATTTCTATCATCCTCAAATATATACATAATTATCCGTCCAATCAAAACCAATATATGGCAAATAGCTAGCAATACCATGTAGTTTTATTTTCAAGGAATGCAGTAGGGTGGCTATAAGAAAGTAAAAATCTAAAAAAAAAAAAAAAGGAGCAAGAAGGTCCTGTTCTGAAATACAATCTAATCTTTTTTTTTAAATAATTTTTTATTAGGTTATATATCAAATACAACGAAAGAGGGTGAACATTTAAAAGAAGATAGAACAGTAGGAAAAATATAAGAAAAGAAAAAAAGGAGAGAATAATGGGGAAAAAAAGAAAAAAGAGAGGAAAAAAAACAAAAAAAGAGAAAAAAAACACACACACAACACATCTAATAAAAATCTAGGAAAATATAAAAAAAACATACTAAGATAAAAAAAGTTTGACTTCCATCTCCTCATCAAGTGTTGTGTCTCCAAAAAATATTTCCATTGCTTCCCTTTAAAATAGTTCTCTTATTTACTTTCTTCTTTCTCGTAATTATCATAAAAGGTCCAGTCTGTCCTCTTTATCGGATTTCCGGTATTTTTTTTCAAAAAAAAAAAGTTAATTCATCCATCTCTCTTATTTCTCTAATTTTCCCTAACCATTCTTCCTTGGTAGGGATACTGTCCTGTTTCCAAATTTTTGCTAGAGCGATTCTCGCTGCCGTCGTAATATAAGTAAAAAGTCTATCCTCATTTTCCTGTAGTTGTAATTCCGAGTCTGTAAAGCCTAGTAGATAATATTCAGGTTTCTTCTTAAATACTCTTTTCAAATTTTTTTGTGATTCTTCATGTATCATAGACCAATATTTCACTATTTCTTTGCATGTCCACCACATATGATAAAAGGTACCTGTCTGCTGACAGCCTTTCCAGCATTTATCAGAAGAGTTCTTATTTATTAAAGATAATTTCTTTGGAGTGGTATACCATCTGTGGAACATTTTTACCCAGTTTTCCTTTAAATCTGTTGCATATACATATTTCAGCTTTTTGTTCCACATCTGTTCCCACTCTTTAAATTGTATAGGTCTTCCTATATTTTCCGCCCATTTTATCATGCATGGTTTAACTTGTTCACATTCCGTTAACCAGGTTAAGAGTATATTATATATAACTGAAATTACTTTTTTCTTTAACTTCAAAATTTTATCCCAAATTGATTCTTCCCAGGTGAAGCCTATCTTATTGTCCTGCTTAATATACTCTTTCATCTGTAAATAATGCAGCCATGTCAAATTTGTATTTTTTTTCTTTCAATTGCTGATAGGTCTTGATCTCAGCTGTATGAAATACAATCTAATCTTGAAATCATTTTTCTGCCAAGTTTTAAAATGTTCTGGTTTATTAAAGATTTTTATTTGGATATAACTTTTTGTTTGATGTGCTTTTAATTTATTTAAATGAGTGATTCAAGCAAAAAAAAAGTAACCACTATAATAACAACAACATATGAGAAAGAAGAACCACTGTTCACTTGAATTGTCTAGTACATCTCTTAATCTGCAGAAAAGGAATAGTGAAAATGAACCAACAAAAAGAATTGGCACAAAGATCGTAACCTATGCTCCATGGGCTCTGGGGAATTCTGCAATGAGTTATAAGAGAATCTTGAACGAAGTTTATTTCCCACCTGCCCACCCTCATTACATTGAGAATGTTGTGTTTAAGTCCATCTTGGTCAGCAAGTACATAGCTTTCATCAGATTCTCAAATCTGTGCCCCCTTCCATTAATATTATAAATGTAAATGCTATAAACCTCTCTTAGTACAAACTATGTTTATTCCTTACTTCACTAGTAATTTTTCTACTAATTCTTTTTGATCCCAGAATAACCCTGTTGTAATTATTGGTGTTTTTACTAAAGTCCCTTGAGTCTTGTAAGTTTGAGAATGTGGTTATGATTTGAATGTAAACAACAACAAGAACAACATGAACAAATTGTGCAGTCGTGGAAACAAGATGTAAGAACATTCCTGCTTGCTGCTTAATTACAATCTGCTCAAAAATTACAAGTACCCTAGCTTTTTGGGAGCGACTTGTTTTTTTTTTTTAATTCTGAAGAAGACAACTTATTTTTCTGAATTTAATATGTATAAATATATAATGGTCCGATTGAATAGAACATCACACTATGCTTTATCACAGTGGTTCCCAACCTTTGGTCCGCCAGTTATTCTCGATTTCAGCTCCCAGAAATCCCAGCCATCTTACCAGCTATTAGGAATTGTGGGAGTTGGAGTCCAAAACATCTGGAGCCACTGCTTTATCACTATACAAGAGTCTGATTCTCATTCTGTTTTCTCCCCTGACTGCATTCCAACTAACAATTGACTGTTATTACATCCAAAATGGGAACTCTGGTTAGTTGTAATTTTAGCATATTAGGGGAAGGGGAGAGGTTTCTTAGAATAATCCAGTTAATACTAACTTTGGATCCCCTTGGCTCAGTCATAATGGTAAAACTACAGTGAGTTAATAGATCAATAGCAACATTCAAAATGTGTGTATTTCATTGGCATTGTATAAAAGGAAATATGAAATACTAATATTTATAACATTATGAAAGTAGCTTCTCAATTGCTTGTATTATATAAATTTGCAGACATATATGTACTATACTTGTTATATCTTGTGTTCTCCTATTCTAATAAATTTGCAGATAAATGATTAAAAAAACTTTTACAAAACATCTATTGTAATAATACAAATATATAAAGGAAAATTTAGATATACATTTCTCTAAGTCAAACCTTTGCAGTAGAGACCCGATGGCATCTTGTTATATGCCATTAATCAACACCTGATATCTTTGTAGTTATTTTCATCATCGGAAAGTACAAACTCTCACAAAGATTCAGAGTTGGAAGGAACTATAAGGGCCATCTAGTTAATGTCCTTGCTGTGCAGTATTGCAACCAAAGCACTGACTACCCAATCTTTGATGAAAAACCTTCAAAGAAGGGGATTCCGCCACCTTCCATGGTTGCCTCTTCCACAGTCAAACAGTTCTTATTGTGAAGATGTTCCTCTTAATGTTTAAATTGAATCTTTTTTATTGTGATTTGAAAGCACAGTTTTTTGTTATGGTCTCTGGAGCAGCAGAAAATAAGCTTACTCTACCTTCATTACAACCCTTCAAATATTTAACAATCACTATCATATTACTGAGCCAGTCTGGTGTAATGGTTTGAACACAGGACTACAATTCTATAGAGCAAGATTTAAATTCCTGTTCAGGCACAGAAACCCACTGGGGCAAGTCACACTCTCTCAGCCCCATAGGGAAGCAAATACAAGCCCTCATCTGAACAAATATTTCCAAGAAAACCTTGTATTAGGCTTACCTTAGGGTACACTATGAGTCAACAATGACTTAAAGGTACACAGAAATAACAATCATATTACTTCTCTACCTTCTCTTCTCTAAGCTACTTATACCAAGATCTCTAAGCCATTTCCTTCATAGTGTTTGGTTTCCAGACCTTCAATCATTTTGGTTTTGTCCCCTAGACATGTTCCAGCTTGTCGATACCCTTTGTGAATTGTGGTATCTAGAAATAGATAAATCATTCCACATGAAGTTGAAGTAGAACAGAGTGGTACAATTAAGTTCCCTCAAACAGGGCACTATATACCTGTCAGTGCCATAGCCAGAAAAAAAAATGCGGGGGGGGGGGGGAACAAATCATGAAGAGTAGTTTCATAACAGAAAATAATTAAAATGGTATGGTTTATTCTATATTTTATATAGACTTAATTAAATCACTTTAATGTTTGCTTCTCATAGATGTAGCATGGGGATTTGGTGAACCAGGTTTTTTTTTAACTTGAACATTTGGGGAGGGGGGTTTGAACACCTACCCCCCCCCCCCCCCCCCCCCCCCCCCCCCCCGGGCTACAGCCCTGATATCTGTAGATGTCATCTTGA